CAAGGGGGGTATTTTATAGTTGTACATTATACTTCAACTCCGATCCATAGACCTGAAATGTCATATAATCCGTCACGGAGTTAGAACTCCCAGCATCCTCTCCGGGGGGCGGCGACTCATCCCGCCATCTCCATTGTGTGCTGATGGCGGTCAGACGTCTCTGCGCCTCTCGTTATATTAGATTACAATGTCGCACAGGAAGTTCCTCCTCTTTTCCGGTCACGTGACTTATAACCTCCCTCTGTATATCCGCACGTCAGGCAGAAGGTTCCCGGCGGAGGGTCGTGGACCAAGATGGCCGCGCTGACGCCGTCCTTTTATTAGGTTGTCGCCATAGGACGCAGAGAGCGGTTCAGCTGACCCCGTCCCGCACCACCTGTTCCATGATATTAAAGCGCTCGGCCACGCAGTGCGCTGTCAGCCGGGCCTCCGGGTCGTGGTCCCAGCACTCGGCGATGGTGTCACTCAGAATTTCCATCCCCTGAAATGAGAAACCAGATTAATGCCAACAGAACATGGCGGCTTGCTGAAGAGAGCTCCTCGCAATGTACATGAGGAGCAAGTCAGAGAGAGCCTGCCTCATTTCCTGGCCGGAGGACGTCCAGCATCATCTAGAGCTTTCCTCCCCAGTCTGAGTGTCCTTGGCCCCGCCCCTTTCATTCATTAGAATTCAGTTCTGGTAATCATGTGTTCAGCATCCTGGCTGGAGGACGTCCAGCATCATCTAGAGCTTTCCTCCCCAGTCTGAGTGTCCTTGGCCCCGCCCCTTTCATTCATTAGATTTCAGTTCTGGTAATCGTGTTCAGCATCACGTGTGGGCGGTACCTAGGGTGATCTGCATGCAAATACATTCTGGCTGGGAACGCCCCCTCCTCTAGACTGACACCCACCCATCAAGGCATCTTTATATTTGCATAACTCCTCCCAAGAGCCGGCCCACTGCGTGCATAGAACTATCACACTGTACCTGAATCTGTACTGTTATCTACTAACCAGCAAGACTCAGGAGGGGGAGGAGCAGCAATGTAAACCAATCAGGATTGGCTCATTAGATTTCAGTTCCTGTAATCATGCGTTTAGCATCACATGTGGGCGGTACCTAGGGTGATATGCATGCAAATACATTCTGCCTACACTTCCGGACTGACACCCACCCATCAAGGCATCTTTATATTTGCATAACTCCTCCCAAGAGCCCGCCCACTGCGTGCACAGAACTATCACACTGTATGTACCTGAATCTGTCCTGTCATTTACTAACCAGCAAGACTCAGGAGGGGGAGGAGCAGCAGCAATGTAAACCAATGAGGACTGGCTTACAGCACGGTTCAGCTAACACTGCCAACATGCTTATAAGTTGGAGGAAGGAATGATCTCCCCCGGCATTGCTTGACTGCAGTATAGGCTGAAGGTAGGCCAAAGAACTGGCTTTTCGGCGGGACTTTCTGGACCCTAAGACTGGCCGAGCGGGGTTACAAGTCATTCGGCAGGTTATGTATCCTGATCTATACATTTGGCTGTTTATATGGCGTTCGGCTCACCGGATCTCTCCTCCAGGTGTCGGGTATGTCCGGCCGTCCTCTGCCGTGTAGCACAACGTCCCTCATGGTCTCCACACACGGATGTTGCTGCACCATGGAGCCAAATGGCAGCTCGTAATTCCTCACCTCTGATGAGAAATAATAATTACCGGTCATTGTAAGAACACGCTCATATCATACGTGTGCACACTGAGCTTCATACTCCGACATCAGCCAAATGCTGCAGCCGTCACATGTGCTTAGAGCGTGAGCTCCCAGGCACAGTCTGTCTTGTATTTATATATATGTAGTATAGGTTGTAGGGGGCGGGGCCACGTTGAGATCCTCACCTCCAATGGCGTCGCACCTAGACGCCACTTCCCACAGGACCAGAGACAGAGAGTAAACGTCCATCTGCTTGAAGGACTCCAGGTCTTCCAGATTCACCCGGGTCTCAAGAACCTCAGGGGCCATGTACCGCGCGGTCCCAACCTGCGAAATACATAGAACATTATACACTGGGCCCTCGGGTTGTGGTTCAGGGGTGGTGCCAGAGCTCAGAGACCCAGAACCTGTTAGAAGGGGTCCATTTATAGAAACATTTGATGGGTCAGAGAAACTCCATGTACATCCCTCCTGTGTGACTCGACCGGATGATGTGAGAATGCGGCAACATCAAATGTTCTCTTCTGGTCGAATGTTCTTCAGATATTACGGGCGGTAATGAATGGGGAAAATACGGTATTATGGCCGCCAGGTGGATACAATGTAACAATTCAGAGACCTCTGGAGGGAATTAGTAGATAAATGTTACAATACTACTATGGGGATCTGCTAATTCCCTCCGGCGTCCTCTAGAATTGTTACATTGTATCTTTCTACTAACCTGTATTTATTTCCTGTGATCCTCAGCGCCCTCTACTGGCCATAATGGTGTCTGTTTATTTGCCTCATCTATGGTGTCCTCATAGTGCAGTAGCCATAATGTGGAATCTTCCGGATTCATTTCTTTATGAATTAACCTATTTTTTGTATGGCCCGTAATATGTGAGGGAATTTGGCTAGAAACCAAGGGACTGCCCCCTGGTCTCCACCAACTAGAGACTGCCCCCTGGTCTCCACCAACTAGAGACTGCCCCCCGGTCTCCACCAACTAGAAACCTAGAGACTACACCCCTGTCTCCTCCAACTAGAGACTGCCCCCCTGTCTACTGCCCCCCGGTCTCCACCAACTAGCAACCCAGAGTCTGCCCCCTGGTCTCCACCAACTAGAAACCAAGAGACTTCCCCCCCGGTCTCCACCAACCAGAAACCTAGAGACTGCCCCTTGGTTACATATTTCTACCATATCCGATAAAGACCCTAACCCATCGAGTTGTCTGACCGTCTGTGCTGGAAGGAGATCCACCTCCTGACTCCCAGAGACTCACCTGCCCGCTGTTGGCAAAGTCATCTACGGTGAGCGAGGGGTCGAGTCTCAGCGCAATGCCGAAGTCGCACAGCGCACACGTCGAGTCACTTTTCACCAGGATGTTGGTACTTTTGATATCCCGGTGAGCAATGGCGATCTTGGCTGTCCCGCATGGAGTGTAATCACTGTGCAGATGGGCCACGCCATTGACAATGGATCCCGCCATCTTTAACAAGGCGGGCCAGCTCAGGACGTGATGGGTCAGGTGGTCCTTCAGGTTGCCCCGGGCGTGGTAGGCCGTGATGATCCAATAGTCTTTCTGCAGACTGCTCATTCGCTCCTCGGAGGTGATGAACTGGAGGACGTTCTCGTGTTTCAGGTCGGCGTCGGTGAAAATGTGTCTCTCGTACCTCCAGGACAAATATTCCTGGAAGGGGAAGATCTTCACCGCTACGATCTCATGGTGGCCGGAGGCGGTGTGCTTCAGTTTGGCTCTCCACACTTCGGCGAACCGGCCTTTGCCGACGCGTTGATCGAGCTCGATGGGCAGCAGCTCGGTGTTGTGGTTGATGCTGTTGGCACAGGCGGTACTCATCTCCCCCTGAGAGCCGGCGGTCAGCGAGGAGGACAACCTATAGCTGAACTTGGCCTTCCTGCTGTGCAGCGGCACGCTGGTGCCATTCCCGGCCTTCTCCGCCCACAATTTGCTCCTCTTCCTCAGTCTCTGGGTGCGGTAAAGGTAGAACAGGACAGCGATCATGACGGCCAGCAGAAGAGGGGGGAGCAGGCTGATGGCGGCCACAGGAAGAGCCTCCCGGCTGTGCAGCACGGCGTATCCTGTGGAGGACAGAACCAATAAGATTTCATCGTTCCAAATTCAGGGAAAAGTTCTCATTCTGGAGCCTCCGTCAGATTTCAACCGATGTCTTTGCCCCCCATCAGGGAGATCTTCCTTCACTTCCTGTCAGCACAGGAAGTGATGGCAAATCTCCACAATGGAGACACATAAACAAGAACACATTTGTAGTGTAGTGGGGGAAGGGTGAGAACTTCTGGCAATGTTCCTGCCTTCCTGCCCCGGTGACACCACGGACGGGGTATTTGAGGTTTCACATATATGTGGAGTTTTTCGGATGGAGTTCCGACAGATCTGCAGTTTTGTTTTTTTACTCGGCGCTCCCTCCTCTCATGTCCTCTATTTATAGAAATGCAGCTTGGCCTTCCCAGAGCCTCTGCCAAAATAAATAGGGGGGCAGCGAGGAGGGAGGCTCAATAATCAGGGAGGATGGGAGGCACAAGAAGCAGTGGGGCAGGAGGCTCAGAGAGAAGGGGGTGCAGGGTGGACAGGGGGGGATCAGTGAGAAGGGAGCGTGGGAGGCTCATAAAGCAGGGGGGAGTAAGGACAGGGGCCTTGGGGAGCAGGGAGACAAAAAAGGATGGGGGGCTCAGGGGGAAGGGGGGGGGGGGCGGACAGGGGGCTCATGAAGCAGGGTATCAGTGAATATAGAAGGCTCAGAGGGCAGGGAGGATGGGAGGCTCAGGAAACAGGGGGGCAACGCAGATGGGAGGCTCGGGTAATACGAGGCAGTGGAGATGGGAGGCTCAGGGAACAGGGGCAGCAGAGATGGTCTCAGGGAACAGGGGGTACAGGGGGGATGGGGGAGGCTCAGCTCCTGAGTTATCAGTTTCACATTTCGATGAAATTCCCTTTTATTTGTTAAGAATGTAGCAGGAGGAGTGAGACTCTTCGGGGGCAGGTTGGGCGAGCTGTGAACTCCCCCCGAGGATTCTGCAGTGACTCAGTCCACCCGTAACTGTAATGTGTGTGGAGGGAGCCGGGCTTATTGGCTGGAAATTTGTGGACAGTAAAGAGAACCTGTATGTATAGAAATGTATGGAGGAGGAATTCTGAGTGTGCAGAAATCTGACATCCCGATCCTTACTGCCAGTCCCCTGGAACAAGCATGCAGGGACATTATCATGTTCAGACATCACTGGCTGCATGCTTGTTCCAGGTCAGTGACACGCTAGATGGATCCCGTACGTCTATCCTCATGGGTGTCTATTGGTTACTGTGTATGGAATCTTTCCTGGCACAGAATAAACAAAATGATGAGGATGATGAGGAGGAGGGAGGGGGGAGGAGGAGGAGGGAGGGAGGAGGAGGAGGATGATGAGGAGGGAGGAGGAGGAGTAGGAGGATGATGAGGAGGGGGGAGGAGGAGGAGGATGATGATGAGGAGGAGGAGAGGGATGAACATGGATCTTAATTATGATGAAGTGTTGTCACTCCGGAAACGTATCAGATTCCTGTCCACAGATCAGTGATACGAGTCCTGATTGGTGGCCATTGGATAATGCACTTCAATCTGACTTTGCTCAGAGGCCGGGCCCAGAGTAGCTCCACCCCCGCGGAGCCCTTACCATCCGACGTGTTGTAGAAGATGAGTTTGTCGTTGCACTCCTGCTCGTTCACACAGCCGCAGACGTACAGACGGCCGGTCTCCGAGGGCATCGCCTGCATCACACATCTGACCGAATTATAACTGGGCACCAGGACGTTCTCCAATGGGAGGAGAGGGTGATGGCACAGAGACGTGACCCGCACGCTGTCATTATCCTGCTTCCTGCAAATAGGACACAACATATATCCGATCACAGGTGACAGGAAGTGCCGGTGTTCTGTCAGCGATTATTACCAATCAATAACTCAGATCATTATATAACGGGCACATTGCTACAAAGTTATGCCGAAAAACAACACTGTAATAAAGGCCGGTCACTGCTGCTCTCTCTCCATGTGCATGGTGACTGGTCTTGTCTCCGCCCCGTCCTGTAATAAAGACCGCTCACTGCTGCTCTCTCTCCTTGTACAGGGTGACCGGTCTTGTCTCCGCCCCCTCCTGTAATAAAGACCGCTCACTGCTGCTCTCTCTCCTTGTACAGGGTGACCGGTCTTGTCTCCGCCCCCTCCTGTAATAAAGACAGCTCACTGCTGCTCTCTCTCTATGTGCAGTGTGGCTGGTCTTGTCTCCGCCCCCTCCTGTAATAAAGACCAGTCACGACTGCTCTCTCTCCTTGTGCAGGGTGACTGGTCTTGTCTCCGCCCCCTCACATTGTGATGTCACATTGTATTTGGCTATCAGCCCCTCTATCCTTGGTAGCAGGTCCCTGGCCCTTACCAGACGGTGACGCAGATCTCCTCGACGCTGTCGCAGTATGAGCTCAGGCTGCAGTTGGTGAAGCAGACGGCGCCGTCACAGATGGGGTTGGAGTTGTCGCACCATTTGCAGACGTTGGTCATGGTGTTGCGGTAGGCGGCGGCCATCGCTACTAATGGAGACAAAGAAGGAAAGCCGGCGTCACTGGGAGATCTCCGGCCTGCGGGAGAAGAGAATTGCTGGACGTGGAGGATAGGGCCCCTTCCCGCCATCCGGGTGCATAGAATGGATGACCCAAATCACCGGGAGAG